CAAATATAATAAGTGCTTGCGAATGCAGTGTGTGTTGCATTTGGAGAAAAAAAAACGGGGAGGTTTTATTTACACTGCTTGCACACAATGGGTCAACTGGTGTAAATTGAATGGAAATAAAGTTCAGGCGCCCATAATTCAATCAAATAAATCACAACTTGCTTACACAAAACAAAATGAACAAACAAGTTTTCTTCTCTTCTGGCTTTTTTTTCTCTCTCTGTTAAGTAACACCGTATAACTAAGCGTGACGAAAATTTTGACAGCATTTTCGACATAAGCACATCTTCCCATTGGTGAGAGTATGTGCGTGTGTAGCAACGAAGTGCTACAAATTATTGGGTGTAGAGAATTGGTTTTTCTTTTCTTTGATTCGGAAACGGAAGCCAATATGGAATAAACTACTTAACAAGTAAAAACGTAACATTCGCTTCTCTCACTTCTTCTTCTTTTCAGCAGAGAAGCATCAAACACAAAATACGAAACTTAATTCCAATCGTAATGAATATAACTTGATTGCTTTTCGTAGTTAGTGTTTTTTTTTCCGGTTGTTGTTGCTGTTTTTCCTTAATTATGGTTTCACAATCAATACCGCTGTCTTTTATTTTATTTCATTTTTTTCTTCTTCTTTGTATAAGTAATATCAAAAGGAATGAGTGAATAAAATATGTAGCTTGCGCTGATTTGAATGTGATGGAAGTTGGCTTGAAGTACGTTGAATTTGAATCGATAGTGAGGCTTCATAGCATTTGCTTGTTGTTGATGGTGGTGGTGGTGTTGAGTGCACAGAGCACAACAATATCAGCAAAGTTAATCAAAATGGATGTAACTCTTTTTTGATTTGCCCATTCGTATGCATCCAAATTTAGCCATCCATTTTGTTTTTTGTAAACATTTTCTCTTAAATTATTTTATGTTTAATCTTTTTTTGCTTCTCATAAAAAATGGTTTTTAATTGACGATTAAATTGAATTATTTAGCTTTTTGTTGTAGTTATTGTGTATGTTCTTCTCTTTTTGCAAGTGTTCACTTTTTGCTTTTTGTCATTTGTGTGTGTGATTTTCCTTTGTCAGCGGTCATTAATCTAAATTCAGCAAAATGTGATACAATTTTCGTTTGGGAGAAAAACGTCGTTCAAAAATTCGGAATTATTGCACAAAAATTAATTTATTGCTCATGTTTTCGTGAAATTATCTCCCTACTATCAATCATTCAACACGACGGTTTCTCGTTGAACGACCACTTTTCGGTTGTTTTCTTCTTCATTCAAGTGTAAAACGAAACGTTGATAAAATTGGCGCAATTCAAATGCCATAAAAAGTGAAATGCACTTTTCCGCTATTTTCCGATGAGGAAAAACCGAACCGGTGAACGGAACCATTGTGTTCGTATCTATTACACACAGTGCAGGCAAGTGGTTGATTCAAGAGGATTCTTCCGCTGAAATCTATAATTTGTTTTATTTAAATGAATACACGGTTTCCCATTGACAGTAATTTTACCATAATTATACGCAAAAAGTACTGGAAAATTAATACACACACAAACAAGTGCTGTTGTAGTTGCCATTTAAAATCAAATGCCTCTTCTCTGCTTACTCACTTACAACAACCGCAGTGGAAAAACAAAATGCTCAAAAGACACACTACTTATTTTATATTGCTTAATTTTCGTGTTTTTCTTCTCACTTATGTTATACTATTAATTGTTCGCAAAAACAAAACGAAAGAAGAAAAAAAAAGAAAAGCGGTTGAAAACGTACGGCTTCATTTACCATGTCACTTGCTTTCGATTCTAAGAGAATAGAACGACGACGAAGCAAAGAAAAAAAAAGTGCATTTAATGAAATTTGGTTGAATGGTATGTGGCACGCAAAACGAAATACACAATTCATTATTTCGTTTGATCGATGGAGATCGTCACGGTATGGTGTTGCTTGCCACGATACCATACCGCAGACATGCAAAATAATTCACTTCAGAAAAACCGACAATCGAATTTCCGACGATTTTTTTTCTGTTCGTTCGTTCTATCTCTCTATGCATTCATCCATTCACCCCCAAATTCGTGTATAACTAGACGTTCCAATCGTTCTGCTCGGCAGACAGCGCTCCGTGCATTTCAATAGGTGGGAACGGAGGGGAGGGGGGCAGCAAATATAACAAAATATCAATGTAATTTTCTTTGATTCGATGAAGCGAAAATAAAACAACACAAAAGAAAGAAAAAATCAACCCAAAGAAAATGTATTCGGTTTGATTAGGAGCGAGTCATAAGCCAAATCAACCGGCTTCGAAATATAGACAATTGAAGGATCATCAGACAAAGCAAAATAACAGGTTGATTTGCGTGAACACGCAACTTTCAGACCGTATCAATTGAAACGACTGAAACAATCATAAAGAAGATTCGAATGTGTTTGTGTGTGTGAACTGAAATATTTCCCATTTTAGCAAGATTCTTCTCCGAGATGTCAGTAAACAAGGTATACATTTCACTATTTATTTGAGTTAAATGCTCATTTCTTAATGTTTTGTTGTTGTTGTTGGTTTTTAGATAAAATTTTCACCTTATACATTACTCATACGATTTGTATTCACTTTTTTTTTTGGTTTTCATTTCTCAGTCAAAAAATAGAATTTGTTTTTGCTTTTTTCGTGTTACACCTTATTAGAAGTGATTCTCTTTTTTTTCTCATTTAGTTCTTTTCTCATCATTTATTTAAGTTTCATTTTCTTTTGCATCTTTTCATTCATTAATTAATAGTTGACTTTTTAACTGATTTTTTCATTTAGCTTTTGCCATTTAAAAGATTTGTTTTACCATTTATCTATGCTAATAATTTTGTTCCTATCTATAACCTCTTTTCGCGCTTTCCTAATTTTATTTTTTTTATTTATAAGGTTTCTGGTTGAATGTCTCTCTGCACTTTTGTATTGTGTGTTTGTGTGTGTGTGTGTGAGAGAGAGAGAGAATGAAAGTTGTTCGGTCTTTGGGTCTCAAGTGCAATTTCGTTTGAATATTAGCGAAATGAAAGTATTCCTCTTCCTCTTCTCCTTTAAATATATGTAAAATGTCATCTGTCAATCGAAGTAGTTATTGTACTGTTTTATATTTATTTATCTCCGCTTTCAATTTTTGTTTTTTTGGTTTTTCTTTTACTCCTTCATTCTTGTTATATGTAATTTTTGTTTAAATACTCAAATCAAATCCAAATCGAAGAGATGCAGATTTGACGATGTCTTAATTAATGCATTTGCCTATTTGATTTGGTGTCCGTTGTCATTGCTCATCGAATTTCGTTAAATTCTTTCATTAAAATTACGAAAAAACTTAAATTGTAATAATAATTGTTCATTATTCTTGAATTTGTCTTTGATGGGAATGGGGATGGGGAGAAGGGTGTTGACGCATGATAAAGCGATTCATGTTGACAGTTATCCAAATAATGCTCGTCGAAACGAATTTCTTTTGTTTGCAAGGGGGAGGCGACACATTTTTTCATATTTTCTATTCACTTTCGTTAAATGTATGTTTTTTTTTGCTATTTGATCACTTGAGTTTAAGATTTTCAATTAATTGTACACACACAAAATGTTTTTTTGAGGGGGTGGATTTTCTTGTTTTATTTGCTTTTTTCATTCTTATTTACATGGTTTCTGTCCATATAACAAATCATATCAAATTGAGATGATTCATATGACTTTTGATTTACAGAACGAGCTTTGGACAGAAATTAAAACAGCGGATTGTTTCACTTTCTCTTTCATTTACTTGTTTTCTCTTTTTTCATTTAGCCTAAACATAAGATAATAAGATGGAGAGATAACTAAAAGATTTAGTCACATTTGCTCGCGTCACGGCAGTTTTTCCCATATATTCTCAATTATCTACGCGGGCGAAAAAATGTGGCTAATCTGAACAACACATGAATTAACTACACTGATAATTTGTTTATTTTTTTTTTAATTTAATTTTCCTCTTTTAAATTTCCATCATCAATAGGTTTGTTTTTTTTTTGTTTCAATATTCAATAGTTTTCAAATTCAATAAATTAATTAAAGCAATTGCTTTTGAATATATTTCTGCATGTTTTACACAATAGCTACATAATTCATTTTGTCTGTGGTTGTTTGTTTCACAATGGATATTACCGTTAGTTTGCTTTGTCAGCTTAACTAATCCTCCCGAATAATGTGACCACCGTTTTCATTCATAATGTGTGTCGGTTGATTTCTTCTTCTTCTGCTTACGATTACTTAATTGGAGTTTGAAATTGTTCTTTATTGTGATTTGTGTTTTGTGCCTGTATAAGAGAGAGCGAGAGAGAATGTCCGTACACCCTTTTTTGTTTCTTATTTTTCGTGTTTTCAACCAATGATTAAGTACAACATTTTCTTCTCACCGCGTTTTTTTTCTTCGTGGTTTTGGTTTTTCATTTCTTTTTCTTCTTTCAAATATTAAAACTAGGAAAAAAAAGCACACACGTCAATGTCACTTTCACGTGATATATTCAACGTTTTAATTCATTACTTCTATGCTCATTTTCACAGGTTAAACGGGTGGAATATACTTGTATGTGTGGGTGAGATAGTCATTATGTGTATATACTTCAATTATTCATTTAAATATAAGTGTGTGTGTGTGTGTGTGTGTGTGTTTACACCGTATCATTTTTTTCTTCTTGGTTTCACATCAATTCATATTAACTAATCCATACACATTTGACTGCTATTTCTGTGTACAATAAATTATTTCGTTCGTGTTTTCCTCGTTTTTTTTTCTCGCATTGTCGCTTCATTACGATCAGGTTTTGGTTTTATAACGTTATCTTATCCTTCGCGTTTAATTTTTCATTATGGGATATTATCGTGTTCTTTTTCTAAATACTTAGCCATATTTATATAGATCTTTTGTGGTTTTTGTTCTTCAGAAGACTTAAAACACTGTTTTTTAAACTCATGTGGTTTGATTTAGATTAATTTACTTATTATTTGAAATGTCTCCGGTTTACATTTTACTTTTATTTTATTAATTTTTTTAATCAAAATTCCATCAAACGCACCCTGTTTGATGTGTTTACATGAGTTTAGTTTTTTTTTCTTTATTGCGATACATTTTATTCGTTTTCACATTATTTTAAAGAGCTCGAGTGTAATTATCATCATTAGTATTAGCATTATTTATGTTCTGTTTCTTTGTTATTTGGTGAGGTTTTACTACCAGGTTTTTTTTTTGGTGAGGTTAATTTGTTTTTAAGAATTGACAAAGTTTTTTGTTTGGTTTTGTTTCTGTTCCGAAAATGAAACGGTTCCAAATGCATGTGGAGCTTTGAGCATTTTATTGATGCAACAATGGCATTCATTTATTTTCAACGAACGAGCACAACAGATGAAAGACGAAATAAATTGTTTTATCGCAGCCAAATGAATCAAATGGCATATAAAACATTGAATGAAATGACGATTTGCAGCCAAGAAATTTTTATTTAAACCACCAGCGTCGGTAGAAGGGGCAAAAACACACAAGCCTCGCCGACGGATGATGAGTGTAAAAGAGAAAGAGCGACCCAAATCGAAATGAATAATCTGTTGCATGTTGTTGAAGCAAAGCAAGCTTGGCGTTGGCCACATTTGCAAAGAGAGAGAGAGAGAGAGAGTGAGAGAGAGAAAAAAAAAGTCGAAAATATCTGCTGATAACTGCAAAATTTATTGTTTCAATTCGTGGCTTTGTGAAACAATCAACAAGTAAACGAAGAGAAAATAGCGAATTATTCGCTTTTGTGGCACTAAATAAAATGCTCATTTCTTGTATATATCACCCAGAGAGTGCCATAAATTTGCTTGGGCAATTTACCCACTCTCATTTTGGTGCGCGTCGCTACTAAATATATGTTTATGTTCGTTGCGACCAACGCACATTAAATTCGTTCTTACAACTCACAAACAAAACAGCAATCAAATCAATTTAATGCTGAGACTGAACCAAAACCTAGGAAGAATGAAGAAAAAAACAGATCATCTCGCGTTTCGCGTCGTATACGTTTTGTTGTTGTTGTTTTCGTGGCGAATGTTATTAACATAATGCTCAAAGCTCACTTTCTCAGTGGTGTGTGCATTGGTATTATCTGCGTTGATTTATCGAAACTGAAACCGAAACCAAATGGGAGAACAAAGAATCAAAAGAGTCATCTATATATATGTTGTGCTATAGCCAAAGACTCGTGCGCTCTCATTCGAACTATAGATGCACCACAATACACGAATCGAAATGGTCAATCGGTTTGCAAATGGTTTTTTTGTTTTGTTTTGTTTTTTTTTGTTTTCTTTTATTGTCAAGTAACGTAATCTATCTTTCGTCAGCCAGCGCACCATCGAGCATTGTGCATTCTATAAAAAAACACAATGGGATCCAAGAATGAAGTATCTAAATATGCAAGTTCATATGTTGTACCTGATTTTAGGATTGGCTGCAGTTTCTCTACTTTCTTTCTTGTTCTTGTTCGACCAATTCGAGAGCATATTTCGAACAGTGCACGCATTGGATTGATACGCTTTGAAGTGGGGCATATCAACGCATTGCACCGGTGCAATGTTCACGCTCATCTGGATTCTCTTCTTTTTTTTTGTCGCACATTTCATTAATTCAAGACTATGTTGTAAGTTATTGTATATAAAAAAAAAGAAGAAGACAAATGCAAAATTTCAATATTTGCCAACTTGCTATAGCTTGGTCCATTTTGGTTTTTGGTATTTATTTTATTCATAATTTGGTTTTGTTTGGTTTAAATGTGAATTGTTTCATAATTTTTTCTTCTTCTTGTAGTTGTTGTTTAATTTTCGTTTTTGTTAGTTTCTTTAAATATTTAGTTGTTGTATGTACAGACAGTATTTTTAATTGCCTAGGATTTACACTCGTTTCGTTTAGGGATTTACAGTTTTTCTTGTTGTTGCTGTTGTATCGTCGCAGGGTGTGTGAGTGTGTATGAGTGTAAGTGGAATAAACAATTTACATCATTTCAGATAATTCTATGTTTTTTTTCGCTGTGTATATTTACTTTACGGTTTGTTTCGTCTTTTTTTTAGTCTTACTAATCGTTTTGTTTACAAGTGGCCTGTGTGAGTGTCTGTTCGTGTCCGTTTGTGTATTTCTTTTTATAATTGCTTGATGTCCTCGTTTATTTCTTCTCAAGCTTTTTTTCATTTGATTTTTAAAAATGTTGCATGCTCCAAATACGGAATCTGGGGATCGTTTTGTTTTTCTTTTCCATTTTTTTCTTTGTAGCCTCAATGGAACGAGATGAGAGTTCACCTCCCCATACCGAATGTGTGTGTGTGTGTGTTTTTTTTCCCTATTTAGCTTTTATGTTGTTAGAAGATACCCTGTTAAATATTCATCTTTTGTTTTACTTTATTTTAATATGAATGTGTGCATGTTCATTTTATCTTTATTTATCTTTTGGTTGGTTGCGTGGTTTTGATCGTGGTTAGCATAGATTTTTTTTATTTTCTGTTTAAACTCTTTTTTTTGTTGGTTTGGTAAAAAATGTCAAGCAACGACGGCAATGGTCTAGAATCTAACAAAGCATATTTTTTTTACTTTTTGTTGTTGTTGTTGTTATTTATAAATACGAAAAAAAAATCTGTTACAAAATGCTGTCTATAGAAATGATGCGCTGAGACGATGATGCCTCGGCTGATGAGAATGTGTTTTGCAACTTTGTATGCCTTTTTTTGTTTATTTAGATCAAATGTATATGCTTTTGGGGTTGGTTTAAATCTTCTCTATTCAATTGGTATGTAGGCTTATACTGGCATAAGAAAACGCATAAATTCTCTGTGATTTTTTTTTTTAAATTTCTTTGCTTTTCGACCATTCATTTGTATTTGTTTGTTTGTTTTTTTCTTCGTTATAATATTGTGGAGAAAACACGTGTAAAATGCGGTTCATTCTACTAATAAATGCTATTGCTTGATGTTGCTTGGCCATCGCATTTCTGGGTGATTACTGATTTGCGTGGCTTTTCGTTAAATAGACTTGCTTTTAAATACATGCCAAAAGCGATTCGCCTTTTGATTTCGATCAAATGACCGATTGAGCTCAAATTTCGAGCCTCGAAAATTTTATTCTCATGAGTTTCAATTGAATTGATTTTTCAAGTCTGTATAGCATGTTCAATGCGGTGCTAATCTGATCGAAATTTCAAAAAGCGAGCTTTTGTCCTCCTTCCGAATGCGATTTACTATTTTAATGAGGAATACATCGAAAGAAATCTATTGAATGACAATAATAAGTTGTGTCAAACAAAAAATCATTAAATTGTACGTACAATGGACTACGATAACGGAACGCAGATATGGGGTAATGAAGGTTCTTCAATTCGTTGTAACGAAGAACAAACTGGTAATCATCTGATTTCTATATCATTTTCTTTGGCAACCAACTTGAAATGCAAAAAGGTGCACGCCATTTGTGTTGTCCCTTAAAAAATGCCAAAATAGTACCGTCGTACCAGTTTATTTTAAAAGCGATTCAATTGCAATCATCAATGAAAATGTTGCATTTGAATATTCTAAATTGAATGTGAGACGAACGAAAAGGAAAAAAAACTAGTAAAACTATGCGAAAATGAGAGACAAAAAGCTTTGAATTAAATCGAAACATTAGTAAATGTCTGGTTTTATGTTGCTTTAGCTTTGAAAATGATGAGCTTAGAAGTTAGCTATCTAACTCAAATCAACACGAAAGCAAAGTGTCTATGTGTTTGTGATGGTGTGTGCTTGCTTGTTTGTTTGTAATTCAAAACCGATCTTGTGCACGTTGTTGCACTTAGAATTGTTGCAATGATTTTCATGCTTAAGTGTGTGTCTATGCAAAACGTGTAACGGAAAACGTTTTTCCAACAACGCTCCTCTACGGATGAACAGCAGTTTTCTTTGCTAATATATCAAATCGAAAAGATGTATGATTTGATAGATAAATGGCTCATATATATATATATATATATATGTGTGTGTTGTAAAGAAACAAACTCGATGAATTCCTGAATATCCATTTCTTGTTTGCAAATTTGCTCTCTAAGTGGAAATATAACGCAAACGAAAACATTGCAAATACATATTATGCAAATATGCTGTTGTTTATTTGGAGGAGGTTCGGGTGTAACAACACACTGATTTTACTTTTTTTTTTGGTTTTCAAAGAAGAAAATATAATTGTAACATTCATTTGGTTCTCATTCTCTCTGTAACGGCCCTCTGTTCACATTTCAAAATGTGCTAATCCATATCCGTGTGTGAGTGTGTTTTGTTGCTTCAATTTGGATTGGATTTGCGCTCGTTCTAACGTTTTCCCTCGTATTTTCATAATAATTTATTTATTTTTTTTTTTTTAGTTTTTTCTTTTTTGGTTGGTTGTGGATTGTGTGCGGGTAGGCATATGAATATGTGCTATGTTATCCCGTTTCGATTCATTTTATATAATCATGTATGTATACTCATATATTTTATATATAGGTTAATTGATGTAGAATATTTTTTTTTATTCAATATTTTTTTTTGTTCATATTAATTTATTTAATGTAAGTTGTTTATTTGCAGCGCAATTTATTGCAGCCGATTTTTGATTGCAGTTGAAAATATATTTATTATTTTATTTATTTATTTTAATATCTATATAGAGTTTTTTTTGTCTGTTTGTGTTCGTTTACTGTGCCTTGTATAAATGTGTGTGTGTGTGAAGTGAATATATGTTTTGTTTGTTTGTTGTTATGTTTTTTTTCTCTTTCTCAGTAGAGTTTCCTCTTTCTATTTTTATTTCCACATAACTTCCTTCATTTGTTCTCTGATATAAAGTTATACTTTGCCTGTTTGTTGTTGTGTGTGTGTTTTTTCTCATTTATTACTTCTTTTAAGATGATTTCTTATGTTTTGGTTTTATTCCTCAATCAGACAACATTAATTTGGTTTAGATGTGCCTTGCATGGGGATCAATTCAATGATAGCCGTTGGTGAAAGCAGCTTGTATTAGCGGACCCTGAATAGAGAAAAAAAATAACAAATGCACAGTGAATTAAATGAAACAAATTTAATGCGATTATAAATGAAATTTTGAGCTTTTATTTTAAATGGAAACAAATGTGAAAAATGGCCACTGCAGTTGGAAGATGCAAGTATTTTCATGATAAAATGAACGCCATTTGAAATTGTTTAAAAAGCATAAAATTAGGTAATCATAATTGAGCAATTATTACATTGTAACACCCGCCAATTGCTTTTTTTCGTCGTTTTTTTTTTCGTCTAACTAAGAACTATTTTATGAATTTGTGTGCGCAGGTTTTGGAATGCAAATAAGCGTTTTTCTGCATTGTTGAAAAAAATATTTCGAAAATTGAAAATTGTCGGAATCGGATTGTCGTTATGTAAGTGTCATGTGATATATCAATTTTGCATGAATGAAACTGAAATCATGGTGGAATGGTAAAAGTGCACAGTGCATAAAAATTGACACACGACACAAAAAAAATATGAACGAACGAACATAACAACACCAACAATGACACACACAGAAAAAAATGTTACCAAATGAAAATGACATTGACAGGGAACATGAACTCAAACACGAACGAATCAAAGTGCGACGGTGCTTGTTTGGCGCACCGCGCTCGTTCAACCGCCCCGACAAAATCGACAATTTCGCAAATTAATATTGAGCGCGAACGGAAGATGATTGACGGAAATGACGTGCTTGAATTTGTATTGGATGATCGCCCGCGCACCGATTTATTTTTGGTATCTTTTGGTGTGTGCGTGCATATTTAATGACTCATCGAATCGGCAACGCTATTGTGTCAGTTAATGCATTTACATCCGAATCCGAATAATACATTTGCTAACGATTGCACAATTAATTTTGCATACAGTTGCAATTATTTTTAGATTTTCATTTGTTCATTTTTGGCGGCGAACACTCGGTGTCACATGCCACCTCCTCCACTTCTACTGGGCGCATCACTTGCAAATGGGATGCATTGTGTTTCGACCATCACGCCGAAATGACTATTTTAATCAGAATTATTGTAATCCTGATAGCGGTTAAATTAACCATTGTATAAGTAATATTCATCTCATCATTATCTGTTTGGGTGTCGTTTTTAATCGTCAATTTGCATTCAATGACGCGACTAAGCATCAGCATTCCATGGACTGAATGTTGTCATTCGAATGTTCAATTTAAATGATGCCCAAACAATATATATCATTGCCAAAATGAATGAACGAATTAAAATTGAAATGAAAAAAAAAGAAGAAGAAAAAAGCGCACACACGACAAAACGTGTGTGACAGTTGAATGGGAGGATGAGCGTTTGATAGAATGAACTTACAGGACTGTAATTCAATGGTGCCCGACTCACTGCAATGGCCGGGAATCCGGATGGTTGTGGGCTCGCCGCTTGCACATATCCTACGCTATCGGCTGCACTCGAACTGTACATATCAATTGTTGGTCCTGGTGAATTGGTTGCTGGAAATCCGCCTCTTGTTGTAGTTGTATGCGGTGACGCTGGTGGCCCATAACCTTGTGCTGCTGCAGCAGCCGCTTGATAATTATTCATGACTGCATGGCGGGCAACAGGAATCGAAAAAAGAACACCGTTTGGAAGAGAAAAAGAGGAAGAGAGAGAAAAATACCGAGAGGAAAACATTAATATCCAGTGCATATGTGTTGATAAAATAAAATATAATTGATTTTATTCGATATACACATTGTTTTTATTTTTCGTTTGGTTCAGTTGGCTTAGAGAGATACAGAACACGCGAAAAGTTTGGAGTTCACAGTGGATTTTATGAGATTTGCGTTAAACCATAAGACGAGAGACTGTTATGAAAAGAGCAAACACAGCGAAACACAGATGAAATGCACCCGATTTCTGTATTTGCTGCGTATGCGTTGATTTTGGTGCGGAGGGATTTCGATACGGAAATTTGGCCAAGGATTTGTCGAATCAACGAATCACAACACAATCAATCAATGCGAAATGAGGGTGATGAGGGCGAGACAGAAAGAACAAGAGAGAGAGAGAGAGAGAGAGAGAGAGAGAGAGAGAGAGAGAGAGAGAGAGAGTTTGGCTTCGGTCGCAATCGATCCGATTCGACATGAGCATGCCATCGCTAAGCAAATAAGTGGAATAATGATAGAAGGCTCCATGTGTGGGGATGCTGTGTGTGAGTGTTGTTAGTCTTAAACATAAATGAAGGCCTCACCTGAAAGTGCTTGTGTTAGAAGTGGTGTATTGTTGTTTGGTGTTAGCTGGCCGTTTGTCAAGTCAACTGTAAAAAATATACATTAAATGAATTAATCGATTAGCTGATGTGGGATGGATCTGTTTTGGCCGTTATAATTTTGTTCTGTTTTTGTTTTATCTCATTGGTTGTTGTTAGATAACGATATACCACCAATTGGGTTGATTGAATCAAATTTTCATATTTTGAATTGTTTGGATATGCGTTCTTGTTAGTTTTTTTTTTTTTTTTTTTCTTTCAAAAGCCAATTTTGTGGTAGCAATTATGAGTGTTATCTATATGATATGAAATCAGCATGTAAAAGTGTATAAAATTTGAATGAATCGGTGCGCGCACAGTCACACGAAAATTGTAACCAATTTTTGTGAAATCATAACATGCATTTTTTAAGAGTTTTCATTTGGATATAAGTTCGTTTTTAGGGTAGGTAATGTGTTGTTTTTTTTTCGGAATTTGATCGCCAATTAAGCAGAGAGTTTATGTGTTTCTCATCAAAAATGCAATTAGTTATCAGATGTGTGTGATTGGTAATGCTGGCACAATCGATTCAAACATCATAAAATCAATTAAAATAACGTGATACAATTTATTTATATGTGTTCTTTTTTCTGTTGTCGGTTAAGAATGATTAAGCACAATTTAAAACAAAATATATGATTCATCGGAAACTAAATGATGTATATGAAAAAAAATGGAATTTACGCATATTAACATGTATGCAATGCACAGCGAGCTCGTTAGTGAAACGTTAATATAATAAACCTAGTCAACGTACTTGATGTGTGTGTGTGCTTTTTTTTAAAAGAATAAATGAGCTAATGATTTTGTTCTGTATATGTTTGTGTGGAAAATTGTATGATTGTTTAACTTTGTTTTATTGTTTAAATGTTTTTTTTTCGAAATGGCTAGAAAAAGCGAACAATTCTATGATTTGAAGCATTGAGCATCGAATATATTCGCAAATCGAGAGCGGTTATTTGTGAATTGTGTGACCGAAAATCTGTGAAAAATAGTATACACATGCAAACATGCATCGATTCATTTTTATTACACCCATTTTGCAGTTTATCCCAAAATGTCGATGCCATCATATCTTTAAAGTCTCCGCCGACCGACCGACCGACCGACCGACCGACCAATGGCCACCAACAACAAAATCAGTGCCAACATGGAAATGGAATTTCAATTGAACAATCAACACCGATATGCTTGCTAGTGAGCCTCATTCCTCCTGCCACCAATGCTGCGTTCAATGTTCAAGTAAATTTCGATGTTTATTTTGGCCAGTAAGCAGATGAACACACCAACCAGCCTTGTACACACATCGTGTGTGTGTGCAGTAACCAAAATGTTGTTGAACAATTTTCGATGGTAAAAATATTTGCAACATTCATACAGCTCGACTCTCTGTCGCACGTTTTCATTTGCTTAAAATGATAATAACATGACATACATTTCGAAATCGGAAATATTCTCTATCGTTGGCTCCATCCGTATGCGCATATATTATGTGCTTAAATGTATGACTGAAAGCGATAAGAGTCACAATAGCCAAACTACCGTGCAAAATTGGTAAATACTCTATGCCCATTTCGAAATGGAACTAACACACAATTTCTCGACAGGTTTTTTTTGCTCATTTCCATGTGTGTGTGTGTGTGGGTTTGCTATTTTTTTTCCTCATCGTTATTTCTCGATTTAATTTTTCCAAAAATATTTCCACTGGACTGAAAATTGATAGTAGTCGAAATCTGTGGGCTTCCAAGCCAGATCCTGTCATGCTATTAATATAATTTCGGCTTAAAAATATTGTCAAGGTTACGACACCAACGCCATCATCCACCGTACATAGGCATTGGCATTTCATTGCAAAAATTATAATCCTCGGCCCCATTGACCAGCACCTCCGGCACCAGCACACATTTGCTAACGAAACGTATCGGTTCCGCTTTGCTTAGTTTGGCTTGGTTTTGGCTTGGTTTTGGCTTGACTACACATCATCATGTGCGATAACGGTAAAAGATACAAGTATTTGTCCGAAAATTTAATACGCCTCGCATATAAATTCACCTTAAACAACCGAACATTTGCAAGCCGAAATTGAATATATTAAGCAGACATTAACCCAGTTGTAAGTGAGCGAACGAGAGAAAGAGACGCTCTCGATGGCTATGCAAGAGAAGGGCAATGGGGGATGGTGAGAGTGGAGTTTGATATCCAAAATGGCTAGGAAAGAATAAAATGTCATTGGAAATGGTTAAGTGTACGGTCGAGCCAATTAAAATGAAGAAAAATAATAAAATCAGCATAAAACTAAAAATCCCTTTTCCGGCCACCACTTCAATATAAGACGAAAACACGCACATTTTCCTCTCGCTCTCGTTTTTTCACACAATATATATGCATAGATTAAATGACACTAGCTCATAAATTGTGACTACTACATCGTCGTCGTAATCACGCACATACATTTGCAAACGGACGCTCGCTCTCTCTCGCTCTCTGTTCCATTGCTTGATACATTTTGGTTCTTCGCTTCTTCTTTTTTTTTGGTTAATTCACAAAGTCATTAGTGACGAAAATTTCTTCGAAAATAACCAGTTGGTACTAAAGTGGGCTTCCGAAACGTTGTCGTCCGGCCCATCACCTTCGTATTCAAATCATAATTTACGTAGGAAAAAAGTACGAACGATGAAAAATAAATTACGATTCAAACGATAATCAAAATGCGCGAAGGAAACAAAAAATAACATGAGCAGAACGAAACCAGAGCATAAGACTCAGTATTCAATGTGTTTGATGTTATCGGTGGTTACATTTTCGTAACAAAATGATTTGATATGCTTCGCTCACTCATTGATGTTTTCGAGGGTTTTTTTTGCGCCAAAATGTGAAATACATGTATTTTAATGAGTATGCAAATTGTTTTCCATTTTCAATATATTCCCCTCAGAGGCTTTTTTCCTCTCGCTCCATGCACACTCACACGCCAAAGGAACGGCGAGAAAGAGAGAGAGAGAGAGAAATGTGTTTTATTTAGCAGTTTATTTGATAATACTTTCGTGTTGCGGATTATGTTCAATCATTTTTAGCCGCGCCTTATTCACGCTTCTCTCAAACCGTATTAAAAGATTGTTCGCTATCAATGTACGGCATTGATACGGTTTTAATTGGCTGTATGCATCGATATTCGTGGAACGAGGCAATAAAAAGTTCTTCGTCGCTGTGAAAATGTGTCAAATCTTGAAGACACCATTTTATGGTGTTTATTGTTAAAATGCTAAAAATCTGTGCAAATACCACCGAAGCTGTGTGCACGCTCATGTTTTGCGTTGGTTGCATTCGGCTTATTTTATTTGCGATGTTGCGAATATGGCACACATTCCGATATTTTTGGCATACACAATACGCATCCATCGTTTGGTGGTGAGGCAGCCTCTTTAAACGCATTATATGCTTAAGCTCATTTAAAATACACTGTGATACGTCATTTATTCAAAATAATTGAAGAGAGACCAAAGTGTTTTTCTTCCAAGGATTTTCGTCGATTCGCAATTTTTCATTTTCGCTTCTTTTCACGTGTTTATTTATTTGCAGTTGTTGAGCGGTTTAATTTTGAATTTTAAGTACATCCTTCGAAATGATTAAGTTGATGATCAGTTTTTTTTTTATTTCTACTTTGTACATCATTCTGTCTGTTTCTTCTTTTCCATTGCGCTCCGCTCCTCGTCAAACACAATGAAGTAAGATAAATTGTTGAAATGTTCGGTACGAATGAAAAAGTTGTCGAAATCGCTTGGATAACGCGCCATAGTTAAGCATATTGTTGAATAATGTTGATAATAACGTTGACGACAACACAGCCAATAATGAAAGTCAGCAACAACAATTGCAGCACACGCTTCAAAACCACCAATCGTAACGAAACATCAAACTAAAACTAAGAATTTGTCAACGGTGGAGACATTATTAATCGGAATAGTGATGGTAATGGTGAACAGTCGAGCGAGCGAACGAACAAGCGGGTAGCCGACCGATAGAATGGAAATAACAATCGTTTGAGAACGACGACGACAACGACCAAACAGACTTGAAACATGCCAAACTTTGTCTTCCGCCCATCCGAGAAACAGAGACGAGTGTGATGTGAACGAGAGACTTTCGTTTGTTGTGTGATCGGTGGCTGTGTCTCCTTCTGTGTGCCGTGCGCTCCTTCTTTCTTTTATTCATCGACAAGTGTATTTGTTTGTGCTGTTAAAATATATTTTATATATGAGAAGAAATTGATAAAGACTTGTGGCGCCGTGAAACTTTTCGAGCGTTTCTATCAAGCATCTTGCTCCTGCTTACATTTCCAATTCAGTGGCGGTGGCGATGGCGGCAGCGGTGATGCTTGTGCCCAAACCCCCAAGTATTATTGTTGTTCTTTTTTCCCTTCGCATTCTTTGTACGTTTTCGATTTTTCTCTCTCTTACTCACTCACTCTCTTTCACTATTTCTGTGTTATTTTTTTTTTGTTTTTGTTCTCCATCCAACAAATTTATTTTTATTTCAGCTTTTCACTTTGGGTATTATATTTGCCTGTTCAATCTAATGTGAACGAAAAATTTTCTTTCATTTCCTCTTTTCTTGTTTGTCGTGTAATGCTTCGACCATATTACGACATGCAGGCGAGCGCGAACAAGCAAGCGAAAGAGATAGAAGAAAAAAGGTTGAGAGAGAGAGAGAGAGAGTGAAAAGGAGAGCGAGCGCGCACATTACACACTAAAATCACCACCATCATTCCCATAGGATGAGGGTGCGATGAAGAGAGAAAGAGAGCGAGTTCACTTATGTTTGCGTAACGTTAAATCGTCATCATGGCCAAAATATTTTCAAGTACATAAATACCGTTCGTAACATCCACTTTGATATTATGTGTATGAGTGTGGCGTGCTTTCTACGGGAGCGAGAAAGCAACAGCAACAAGCGAGAAAAACAGCACATGAACCCGTTTTGCAAATCGAAAAGTGCACACCGATCGGTTT